AGGTTCTTTCCAAAAACTCCTTGCGTCGGTGAAAACCCGAATCTATCCGTTCAGCGATTCCGCGCTGCGATCACTTCAGACAGCACCAGCGGAAGTTCATCTTTGCTTGCATTCGTCTCTTGGACGGTGGCTTTGATCTTTCCCTTTAGGATCCCACCAGCCTTTTCAGTCCTTGAGTTCTGCCAGCGACTTTGAGGATCTGCATAACGCAGCGCTACGCCGAGGCCTCCAACGGACTGTTGGAAGAGGTTGTTGTAGAATTCCTTTCCTCGGTCCATAACTAGGAGTTCTGGAGGACCGTACGGTTGGATCCAAAGGCGTAAGAAAGCGTTCAGCACTTCTTCAGCCGATTTGCCCCTGACAGCGCAAGCCTGCTGATAGTTGGCGCCCCAACAAAAAACGTTCAAAAGAATCACTGGCTCATTGAAGAGCTCTGCAAAGCAAAGGTCCAGGCCCACCACTTGGTTGAACTCCAGTGCTCTCATCAAATGGCCTGGTCTTGCTGGCGTTGGCCGAACTCTCGCTTCACAGGTGGGACATCGAAAATGATGTTTGGTCCACTGGATGATGTCACGACGCACCCCTGCATTTCTGAGTGCCCTGAGGAATATGTCTCGAGAATAATGTCCAATGTTTCTATGGACTCGATGTACTTCTCGACGAAGCTGTGAGGTCAAAATGAATTTGTCTTCGCCGAGTTTTTCAAAATCCTCCATCTTCTCTGGCTTCGCGCAATGCCTGGTTCAGCACTGAGATCTTTCAGCTCGCGGCGAACTGCCGCTACTGCATCATGCTCTTCAGGATCAGGAACCTCTGGAGCATCGGGCTCAAGCTCGCCTTCTTCCATATCTCCACATCCTCCTCCACGGTTGCGGGGAAGCTGGAATGTGGCAATTTTCCAGGGTGTACACCCCAGGCTGACGCCGATGATGCTGGCCGGGTTGGTGCTGAAATCCGGGCGGTAAATCTACGCGCAGAAAAATTGCCACTGGAACGGCTTCTTTGGCTCTGGTAGGCCAAAGCGACCTCCTCCTCCAACTCCACCTGGTCCGCGGCAAAGTGAAAGACTGCAGAACCCATGCTCTTGCCCTGGTTGAACCACATGTGATGCGGCTCATCCAAAGAAGCAAGGACCTGCTTGTGGACTTTCATTCCTAAAGCTTCACGAATGCCATTGATGATGGCTATCACAAAGGAGGGTGTGTAGATCGCAGCTGTGGGTTGGGCGATCCACGCAGAAGCATCCCATGAGGATGGTTCTTTTGTTGGCCAGCTCAGGGATGTTGGAGATCAGAGCCGTGGGCTTCTTGACGAGTTGCCCTTTGAACGGTCCCTTCACTGCTGCAAGGTTGAAGCGGCAAAGGTCGAGGCATAAGCGATAGGCTCTTCCAAAAGGTCCATCATTTTGGGAACGCTCCATGAAGTAGCGTCCTTTGGCTGTTTCAAGATGAAGCCACGTCCTTCAGACATTTGGAGGCGGCACAAAGACACACAAAAGCGAAGGTGCATCAGGCCTTCTTCCAGTTCTCTTGTCACATCGGCTGCGGGTCTCTTGAACGAAGACAGGTACCTCAGCCTTGAAAACACGGTGGGTGGCAAACATAAGATGATTCAGCTATCAATTGAAGCGCTTGTCGACGGTCTGCAGCTTTGGTGCAGTCCCATCCATTGGTGTGGATGCCTTGGGGCCTTGTCTTTTGGCTTCTGTGGTACATCTTGGAGGACTATAGATCTCCCCGAACTGTCGTTGACTCTTGTCCAGGGTCTTGGCCTCCCCTGCAAAATCAGTTCTCCACAGCTCTTGCACGCTAGGGTGAATTGGAAAATGAATTCACGCGACGCCGTGGCCTGAACGAATCTTGCGAGCTTTGGCGCGACTCTTCTTTCGCGGCGTTCGTGTGAAGAACACCGCTTGAAAATCCTGGCTTGCCCTTGGAGACAGATCCCCCCAGGCTCGAACCTTGGCCAGATGGCCTCCAACACCAATGGCATCACTTCCAGCGTCGATGGCCTTGTCGGCTTCCCAGCAGAGCCGCTCCCATCTCGACCCATACGAAGCTTGTCTTCATAGTGGGCACAAGTGTTTGGATCTTTTGCCCAACTCTTGCAGGCTTGGGAACGCGGAAGTCAAAAATGCCGTCCCCGATCTGCTTGGTCTTTGGCTTGGTCTCGCGGGGCTCGGCTGCGCTCTTGGCCTTGGGCTTTGAGGGCCCCTTGTTCATCAGATAGTCCATGGCCGCTTGCTTGGTGGCATGCACGATCATCGTGCCACGCGGTTCCAAACTTGGCTGCGCTGGTTCGACGGGGCCGCAATGGTCCCTCCTCCTGGTCGCCATTTGTTGGCGTTGCGCTTAAGGTGCACAATCGAAGGCTTGACCTTTGAGCCAGTCACAGAAAAATCCGAACTCTCTTCTTGCACGGGTGAACGTTCATTGGCACACAAATCAAACATCTGACATGCTGCTTGACTCTTCTGATTCAGCTTCCCTTCAGCTTCCTCTGTTGAGGACCGAACCTGCAGTGGCTCCTCTTCGAAATCGTCCTCATTGGGCCATTCAGGATCAGGCTGATCCCTTGAAGCTCCGGTCACGAAGTTCTTGGTAACGCGAGCCACGAGAGCTTCTGGCCTATCCAAAGGTCGAAGGGCTGCAGCGGCTTGATCAAATGTCATCATTGCCTGGTACACGCAGCGTGCCCAAGAAGGATTCGACCTGCAATCTTTGATGGTAACTTCTCACCAATGTTGCTCTCCAACTCTTGTAAGGCCAGTTCTTTGGCAGCAATGTAAGTTGAAAAGGTGTCCGACTTTTGTCGTTCTCCAGCATAGAAAAAGTTCTCAACCGATGCTGGAGCCACAATGTACGGACCATACTTTTGCAAGATTGCTGACAACCCTGCTCCATAGCCCCGTGGGCTCGACAATGTGCCAATGTCAATGGCCTCACAAAGTCTGCTAGGCACTGATTGCCGGAAAGCTTTGGTCATTGTTGCCCAGCTCCCACATCGCCTGTCAGCGCTGCAGTCAAAGCCTTCAATGATGACCGCGTTGCTATCTCCTGAGGTGCTTTGCCAAAGATCTCGAAGGCGCTTCTCACTTGTGGGGTGACTGGAGGTGCCATAGCCATATTCAGCTGTTCGAACATAGCTCCACTCAATGAACCATACCCGGAACAACCATGCTGCTGTTGCACACCCGGAAAAACACTGCCAGTTCCCATTCCGGTTGTCAAAGGAACATTACATCCCTGTTTGGTAAAACCTCCGATCTGGCCCATGCATCGATCCTTGCGGATTCGGGGCGGGTTGCGAGAACTGACCATGAAACTGTGCACCAGGTGTAAAAACTGAGTGTATAGGGCTCAAACAAGGATGGCTCTGGTAGCCACTCCCAACAGCCTGGCCTGTCATTCCAAAAAGACCCTGCTGTGAAGCGTCTCCTTGCAGACCTGACTGTGACTGAGTCCCGCCGGGCGGCATGCTGAAGTCCTGCCCACTGCTACTCGTAGGTCCAAAAGACGTCGGTCTTGTAGGGGCACCTTGCAGCTTGGTAACAAGCACTTGCATAGCGACCCCAGGGATCTGAACCTGCAGGGGATCCATAGGAACCAATGCCAACCGGCAGGGAGCCAAGATCTCACGCAAGGCTCCGCTGCCACTGTCAACAAACAGCAGCCTAGAACTGTAGTTCACAAAAGCTCACACGAACATGAAACACCGCGAGGAAATCGAGCGGTCCCTAACGTTTCTTTCACAAGAGCCCAAGGCGCCTTCGGTAGGTGGGTACGTTGAACACGAGTCAAGGGAGGTGCTCAGAATCTTCTAGAATCTGGTTTCGAGTTCATCACACACAACTACACGTTCAGTTTCCGACCCGGACTGATGTTTTTGAGAACACAAACACCAACTCAGAACCCTCGATGACGGCATAGATCAGCAAACAGCAGCAGCACCTGGCACCCCAGGACCAGCGCCATGAGTGGCTGGCAGCTTGTCACTGGTGTTCCAAGAAGTAAGAAACAAAGCAAAGACATGGGCGGCCCAAGAATGCATGCGCCGTAGCATATATAACCTGCCATGACGGGAAAACTGTTCAGTGATTATTAACAAATGTGTATGGGTGTGTGTGCGTGTGTTTGTTTGTTTGTTTGCTTGCTTGCTTGCTTGCTTGCTTGCGTGTTTGTTTGTTTGTGTCCACCAAGTTTGGTAAATTGTATGTGGGCGCCGATCTCATCTGGAGCTCAGTCGACATAAGCTTCTACAATGAAGGTCCTTGCATCTTGAGGCAAAGTAGCAAATCGAGGCCACCACCATCAAACAAGTGATCCGTGGGCTGATTCCTACCGTGAAGGAAAAGGCACACCAGCACCGCAGCTGTGGCTGGTGTTTCTCAGCAAACCGGAACAAAACGGGATCTGGAGTAAGTTGAGAAGAATTGCAATGGCAAATGCTTGATAGCATTAGGCTTTGCTACTTTCACACGGCGGGTGTCTCATGCAAACCTATATTAATATTAATAAATATATATATTATATATATATATATATTTTGCAATTCTTTACACATGAAATGGTGACTCATGATCCACCAGCTCTTCATATTCCATTCCGGCCGGAAGAACCTTTATCTAACACCGACGAAAATTGTGAAATCGGGAAGAACCGACCATTCTCCTGTCTATATATATATATAAGCTTCCTTCGTTGATTAAATATATATATATAGTGGTAAACAATAAGTCCATAGTTCGCTGCCTGCTTTTCATGAGTGCCTTTGCGGCTTCTTGGACTTCGTAGCTAAGCCATGTCGATTTCACACATTTTCACCTATGTTATCACCAAGCTGCCCTCCGTCCGTGACACGATATGGGTATGAGAAATATGGGCCGCGATCGTCAAACGTAGTTCAAGTGCGGGACCTCTTGCTGGTTGTCCGGATGATTGCGCTTTTGCTAGTTCTGCATGCCTGCCCGCCCAAGCCTCTCGGTTTTTTTCTCTCCACCCTCACGTCTTCACATTGCTCTTACGCAAATGGTGGCAGCGAGGCCTTGTGACAACAGGTGCCGCAAAGGGGTAGGCTCATCATGCCACATATCAATTGTCTCAGGTACTCCCTGTTCTGGTGGATGACCCTCAAATAGTCTTTGTAGCTCACAATTACGACCCAACAATAATAAACTGTTTACGCACACGCCAGTACTTCCATGCGTTCTTGTTTGCTCTTCATGAGCTGGAGACGAAGTCATTCAATCAATCTATACCGACGGCGGTATACATCACAAGGTGGTTGGGTAGTTTTACGCAATCTCCCCTGAGGCTTGGGCAACGTCTCCTTCAGAACTTCAATGAACTTGCTCACGGCCTCAAAGCCAAGCGCCAATTTCAACAGTTGGCTCAACAGTTCGATAATTCTCAGAAGTCACAAGCATCATTCAATCAAGCTGTTCAAAGGACCACGAAGACCGCAAGGAGCCTTTGTGGCAAAGTGAGAATGGCAACTACAGCATGTTCCTTTCACGCATCTCTCTCTCTCTCTCAACAAATGACTGGCGCCTGCACATGAGCCTCCCGTGCACCAGGCTCAAGGTGTCGTAGCCCGGGCCTTGCAGTCCCAGCGGGTCCCCGAGCAGCAGCTAGCTCAAACACACTTGCACTCTGAGACCTCTTGTCACCGAAAACTGAACAACTGGTCGTTTTTGTGGAAAACTACATCACGAATTTCAGAGCACTTCCTGAATGAAGTTCAAGGTAGGTTGAGTCCTGGCTGCGCAGCCAAACTTATCTGGCCATTCGAACCCCAAACACAATGTGTAGCGTGTCGACATGTGTGCGTCTTCCTAGCCATTGCGTCACCGACCTGGCACAGAAGATTAAGGGCCAAAAGACAAAAAGGCAAGGACCTCAATTTAATCCGCCGGCACAAGAATAAGCTGCTGCCGGAAGAAAGGTTGAGCTTCACCACATACCAACACAAGGTACTCCCTCAAGGCAATCGCTCTGCGACCAAAGAAAATGCCATGGGGAAGTTATCTTGAGGACGCCCAGGCGACAGAACCGAAAATAAACAAAAGAGAAGGACAAAGAAACTATCGTGCACGGTTTCGACGGCAAAAAGATCCAGATAGAACCAAGAGTCATCTTCCGCTCCTATGGTGGGCTGTCGGCGGAAGCTACAATACGCTCAAGGACGAAAAATGTCAAGCCGAAAGCAGAAATGAAACTTGTCCTCGGGTGAAGTTGCTGACAAAGAGGACGTTCCACCAGGGCTGCAAGAGCTTGTGAAGGTGGACCCTAAAGAAGCTCTGAAAGAAAGGCAGAAGACATTGAATGCGGAACGCAAGAGCCCGAATCGCCTTACCAAAGTCAAGCACAGCATGGAAAAAAAGGAAACAAAATCCAAGAGCTGGAAGGACAAGGTGACCAAAGGTCTCAAACAAGAGGAGGAGAGATGTGGAGAGGCATTATTGCAGGAGTTGAAAGCACAGGAAAGGCAGAGAGACAGTAGAGATCAGGGAAATCAATTCCAAGAATGAGGAGGAGCAGCGATTGCATGAAACACAAATTCCATCCTCTGACGCCTTAAGCCTAAAGCCTTACACTGTGCAAAACGGAACATGACACTGATCAGCAATTTCTCAAAAGGGTGGCTTGGTTGCAGAGATTCCAGAGATTCCTATCAATCCGCCAGAGCAAAAGGTCCATCCTATGAGGCCGAAGATGCAGGCTGCAGAAGAGAAAGTACAGAAGCTAAGAAGGGCACAAAGATCTCGATCGCCAAAGCCAAAGGCCGCAAAGATTGTGTCAGAGACCATGGAAAAAGACACAAGAAGAGAATGTCTAAAGCAAAGATTGGAAGGGTTACCGGAGGACTGTCAGGTCAAAGTCCTGAGCCTTTTGAATGTCAACTGATCAGCCTTTCCACTGGTAGCGAGTGTAGACCAAATGATCCAGGAAATGATCCAGGCAAATCCAAAGATTACCCAAGCGATTATTGCAAAGTTCTTGCTGCAATTTTGAGTCAGCACCAATGAATCCTGAAGTTCTGTCGAATGACGATAGTTGGGAACGCATCTATTTAGTACTCAATGCACGAGCTAGTCACGGGCGCACCGCCCTCAGTTAACAACAGGAAACACAGACTCCAAACAGCGAGCTCTTCTCGAACCCTGTCCAGTTGGTGTGTGCCCACAACCCTAACTGTAATTGAGGACTCTGAGTGCAGGGAGAGCCTCAGATTTTTCGGAATCCCCTGATGCCAAGGCCTCCATTGACCAGGACTTTACCTCACTAAGGCCATGGACGCCACCACGACCGTCTCATCGCTCAAGACCTCGCCCTCCTCCAGGGAAGTGCCTCCACAATTTCATGGACCACAACATTAGTACAAGTGGAAACCGGACCTTACTACTACTACTGCTACTACTACTACTACTACGACTACTACCACGACGACGACTCCTACCACTACCACTAGTACCACTACCACTACCACTACTACCACTACTACCACCACCACCACTACTACTACTACCACTATACTACTACTACCACTATACTACTACTACTACTACTACTACTACTACTACTACTACTACTACTA